ATTGCCTAATATTCCTCAAGATCACATAAGATCCGTTCAAATGCCGTGCATAAATTACAGTCTCACCGAATATTTCAGATTATGGTGATTAATAGTCTTCGAAGTAATTTTCTTCCAATATAAGACTTGTAGAATTATGGTCCACTATAATATTACTACTGCTCTAATAATAGACCTAATCCTAAATTTGTAGATTTGTCATGATATAACTGCCTAATCTATAAAATCTTGCATGGAAGTCACACCATCGACTACACTAACTCACTGTATCGTATCAATTATCAATACATGATGTAGAACAAGTTTAGGCTAGAGAAAGAACAATATATTTATTATGAATAGAAGATATAAGGTATCATTCAGCAAGGACCACGCCTGCATGCCGATCCATGCCGTTCGATCAACTCCAATTCGTTCAATTCCTTCTTCTCGCCTTCTCCATCGTTAGGTATTTCTCCGCGTTAAATATTGAATATCTATTTTCCGAGTAGTCTCGTGTTCAGCTTTGAAGATTGTGTGGTTATTGTCCAATGCCACTACAGACTCATCAAATAAACTTGCCTTCAGTTCATTATTGATATTCACACCGAGATATTAACCACGTAACTATAGTTTAAAAACGTTAATGTATTATTCATGAATTTACTGAATCAAAATATCCACCCGTTAATTAAACAGGACTACGAAAAACCATTTGATAGCGTGGACAGAACAACACTATGGAAACTTCTTCGACACTACGGCGTGCCTCAGAAGATAGTCAATATCATACAGAATTCATATGATGGATTAAACTGCAAAATTGTGCATGGAGGACAAATCACAGACTCGTTCGAAGTAAAGACCGGTGTCAGGCAAGGTTGCTTACTCTCACCCTTTCTCTTTCTCCTGGTGATCGACTGGATAATGAAGAGGTCAACATCTGAAGGGAAACACGGGATACAATGGACATCTAGGATGCAATTGGACGATCTAGACTTCGCAGACGATCTGGCCCTTCTATTGCAAACGCAACAACAAATGCAGGGGAAGACGACCAATGTAGCAGCAGTAGGTCTCAATATACACAAAGGGAAAAGCAGGATTCTCCGATACAACACAGCATGCACCAATCCAATCACAGTTGATGGAGAAGATTTGGAAGATGTAAAAACCTTTACATATCTGGACAGCATCATTGATGAGCACGGTGGATCTGATGCAAACGTGAAGGCGCGGATCGGCAAAGCAAGAACAGCATCTGGAACTCAAAACAGTTGTCAACCAACACCAAGGTCAGGAATTTTAATACAAATGTCAAGACAGTTCTACTGTATGAGGCAGAAACCTGGAGAACTACGAAAGTCATCATCCAGAAGATAACAGTTGTCTACGCAAAATACTTCAGATCCGTTGGCCGGACACTATTAGCAACAACGTACTGTGGGAGAGAACAAACCAGATCCCAGCGGAGGAAGAAATCAGGAAGAAGCTCTGGAAGTGGATAGGACACACATTGAGGAAAGCACCCAACTGCGTCACAAGACAAGCCCTCACATGGAGTCCTCAAGGCCAAAGGAGGAGGAGGGGAAGACAAAAGAACACATTACGCCGAGAAATGGAGATAGACATGATAAAAATGAACAAGAATTGGATGGAACTAGAAAGAAGGCAGAGTGGGACAGAGTGAGTTGTAGAATGCTGGTCGTTGGCCTATGCTCCATTGGGAGTAACAGGCGTAAGTAAGTAAGTGTGTAAGTAAGTAATTAAACAGATCTTTGATTAAAATGGCAGATACAGATATTATCGAAGAATCCCTTGATGATCCATAGTTGTCAACAGAGATCAACCATATGAAGAATATAATCTACATGATAGTGTAAACTTCTGCAAACGTTTCTTCGTATTTGTTAAGATATCACAAACATTTGAAATGAGCTCATAATAAATCCATGTCTAAAAGATATAACGTATACACTAACATTAAATTATGATTATACAACGTTTTGTTACCTGCTTCTTTAATCTCCTCTGGGATTATTTGAACGGAAATCAAAGTTTTGTCATTTACGACTTTGAAGCTGTGAAAAAATGGTAATTTGTTCATTCTTTTTATTAGAGTAGATATTAACCGATTCTGGTTGTATCCCATCGTAAATCGAACGTCGAGAAATCAAAGTAGATAGGCATGAGGCATTCATTATTGATCCTAACTGATTATACGTGATCTAGTAAAGTTCATCAGATCGTTTATTCACTTACATCGTTAAACTACTTATTTCCATTCTTGATTATAGGATATCAGCCAGTATTAAATAAGTATTTAATTTAATGAAAGAAGAAATTTTATTGAAATCACGAACTAATCAGTGTCGAACCATTATTGAATACCTGGAAGTACTGAACTGCAGTTTCTAGTATAGAACCTCCCATCAGCGAATGAACATAGTTCCGCACGCGGGATTCCAGAAAAGGACCTTCGGTCTTGCTTGAACACTTAACATCATACCCGACACTGTTGAATTCCGTTGGCTACGGTTTCTCAATCGAAACCTGAGAATTAACTCTCTAAGCTAGTTATAAATGAGAACATGATAATTTTCAGTTTAGATTTGAGGAGATTGTTGCCAGATCGTGGCTGTGCGATGCTGATGGGTCCCATAGTAAAACGAAAAGGCTGTCCAGCGCATCCAGGTTTTCAATGGTAGTCTGACATTGATCAGTTCATGATTTCAATGAAATTCAATAATCCTCACAACCCCAAACTGAAAAGGAACAAATTGATGACAATGTAGTCTTGTATTATTGTTTATCGATCTGATAGGTTTTGGGCTTCACTTTATAGCAAAGAATAAGTGGAGAAATTACAAAGTAGATTAAACATTTATTTCAACACTTAAGTGTTTATCACTTTTATTTAAGTTATTTTGATTCACTAGACTCTATGGTGAATACATGTTCCATGATTATCGTTTTACTGACTTGGTCAAAAATGTTATTACAATAGTATATTGTGCAAAGATAAATTATGTTTCAGTGGGTCCGAACAAATTAGAAAATGATTGTTTTACTCACCATTTTGTATCTCATTAGTGAAAACTTGAATAGAAACCCTTACACTTAAAAGTGTGGGAATATTTGTTAACAATACTATACTATCCAGATTCAGAAGTACCTAAGAACCTGTGTCTGACAACAAAGTTTTCACAGAAGCAACGATTAGATATCTAATAAATAATTGAGATAATATAGATACTTCCATTAAAAGACGGAAGCCATAACACTTTTAATTTGTAAACGTTACTGTGTTCAGACCTTTCCGACCTTAATTATATATTCAGAGGGATAGTGTGACAGATCTTTCTTTGACATGGTGAGCATATTTGTATTCACATAAATTTGTCTGTTACCTAATCTTTTCGATATTTATACATTCATATCAGAAGGGGTTTTTGTGGATATTATAGTAATTTTAATAGTTGAACTCATGAGCCAATTGAAGCTAAACCAACATGGAAAACCTGGAATCAATGATCGGTGGTTTCTTCTATTACGGGACTCCTCACCAGTGCTCATCCACGACTCTGTCTCGTAATATTCGAACTCAAGATCTATCGGTCTCGCGCATCACCGCTTAAAATCTAGACCACTGAGCTGGCCAGCATCCAACGGTGTTGATGTCTAACTTCAACTTATCCACGAAATTGAGCGACGAATCCACTATTGTCCTCAGTGAGTCACTATCTCACAACAGACTCGGTTGAACTCCACTGATTACTGCTTTTATTAGAACTCCAGGAAACACCTCTTGAAGCCAATCATTAGTGAGCACATGTTGATTTGTATCAGAGGGGGTTTTGTGGATTGTATTGTAATTTTAATAATTGAGATCATGAGTCAATTGAAGCTAGACCATCATGGACAACCTGTAATCACTGGACGGCCATTTCGTCCTATTGTAGGACTCTTTTTATGTCCACATTTATGATAACTGATAAATATTTCATGAACAGTTAGATAAACAAATGTTTACGAAGTGACACTAGTTGAAATTGTTCAATTTGTAGGTAATTGAAATTATGGCTATAATTTAAACAGACAATCTTTAAAAAAAGCGAAGTACTTTAAGGTTGTTTCGTTTTGATATGAAACTCAGTAATGAGTGCACGCAATCCCATCTGGGTCTTTCATTGAGTTGGTAATATGATTGTAGTTGAGAACATGAAGTATTGTATTCTAATCTAGAGATCTAAAGTATTTGTGCATTTCTTAAAATCCAATAGTTCTGAGATTGCAAATGAGCACTACTGATGAGTTACTGAATAATATATTACAGTTTTGTATTCAACACATAGCAGTTTTTTCTGGGTTTTTTTTAGATAAAGTCATTTTTTCGGTCACAAATGTCAAAGTAATGGGAAGTAGCTTCATACATACTTTTACTGTTAAGTTATAATGTTCTATGATTATTAGTGATTTCTAGAAAATATACTAGACTAGAGCTTTGAAATATAAATACAGCATTATCAGATCATTTACCTTAAGAACTATTTGATTGTTTTGAATGATAATTATCATATGATCATCATATGCTCACTAGTGATGGTCTCTAAGAGGTATTTCCTGGAGTTCTAATGAGAAGCAGTGACCAGTGGAGTTCAGTCGGGTCTGTTGTGAGATAGTAACTCACTAAAGACAATGGTGAACAGTGGCACAATTTCGTGAATTGGTTGAATTTAGACATTAATACCATTGGATGCCAACTCAAAAGTCTAGATGTTAAGCGTTCGCGCGCGAGACCGGTAGGTCCTGGATTGGAATCTCACGAGGTGGGATCGTGAATGCGCACTGCCGAAGAGTCCCATACTAAGACGAAACAGCTGTTCAGTATTTAAGCGTTCGCGAGCAAGACTAAAAGCTCTGCGGGCTAAAAGTCACAAAAATTTGGTAATGGCATTAAACAACACTCGTAAATATGTGATAAGAATATGACTTGGTGAAATGATGACATGTATTTACATTTAACAAACACTAAATCTATTCACAATAATAAATAATGAATTGAGTAAACATGAAATGAGAATAATTAATTTGTACTGTACAAATAATTTGTTTGTTCTATTGCATAAATCATAATAACAACAGTTATACTTGTTAACAAGTCCTGGAGTAAGCTGATTGATAGCATCTTTAGGTGGACATTTCAGTAAACAACCTCGACCTTCCATTTGATAACCTTGGAAAGTTGAGTAAGCTGTCTGTAAATGAGAAATTAAAGGAAAACAAGACATTGTTCAAAAAATACACTTCTATATATGATCCATATATATGCAATGTTTGATTTAGTTTCTTAATATTGTTTGTATTCCTGGTGTTCTATAATGATGTATTGACAATACTTTGTAACCAAGAAAGTGGCTATCAGGACTCAGTAGCTAAGTGGATAACGCGATGCCGTTTGAAGTGAATGATACTGGGTTCGAGTCCCAGAGTGAACATCAACTCTGTGATTCAGGTACATCCACCTGACGGGTCCCAATTGAGACGAAGCGTGCGTCCTAGATTCCACTGTTAGGCACTACCCATTATTGCTTACAAAAAGCTTGTGCAATAAGGCAATATCGAGGCATACGCACAGTATGCACATATGCCGATAACAGACTGATCAACTGCAGTTTTAAACCTCAATGGGAAGATACAAGCCAACTAATATCAAGTGAATTCAAACTCATTTATGTGAATATATTCAACTAATTTTATGATCCCGATTTCAAAATTCCCCAGGTATCATGTTATTCTGCCTAGGTCTTTGTTTTTATACTCTTCAAATGTTTTGAAATAAGATATCAAATATGCAAAATTATGTCAGCCATTAGACAACTATTGCTATTCACAATGGAAAAGGATCTCTTACGATCATAAGTTGACTGAATTTAGTAATGTAAACTATTAAATATCACCTCAATGGTCTGAAGGTTACTTCCTTGTCAGGAAACCTAAATAATCTGAGTTTGTCCATGTGTGGTGTTTAGAACATGAACTGCAAAGGAGTTTTATGCTGATACTAAACAGCTTTCTAATGCTTCTAATAGTTAAAAATGGTTGCCTAATTAAAATCAGTGTGTGGTGTAAATCTATAATTAGGTGTGTGTTTATCGCCCAATTATATGAACACATGTTCTAGAAATCTGCTTTCTCAATATAAATTAGATAATTAAATATCTTACAAGACAACTGTATGGTTATTCAGCAGTTACATATACGAAAAATCTGCAAACATTTTGCATGTACATATGTAAGACATGACTATGGCTATTCAGTCAGTCAGTCAGCAACAACCTATAACTTCGTACGTACGTACATCAGTTCGAGTTGCCATACCACATTAGCACAGAGATGCAGTTGTCGATTCAAATCCCATTGTGGTAGAGGTAGTAAGAGTATAAGCAGTAATCGGGAACTATGGTTATTAATTTCATGTTGATCTTGGTTGTACCAATACCAATGAGTACCAAACTGATGTAAACACAGCTATTCAGTGCAATACATGTTTCCATTTATCCTTCAGTTGATATTAATATATAGTGAAATATGCCTTCATAATGTTTATTCACTATACTTCTTCTTTTTTGTCTTCTTACGCCTGTTACTCCTCGTGGAGGAGCATAGGCCGCTCACCAGCACTCACCATCCAACCCTTTCATGGGCAATCCTTTCTAGTTGTTATTCATCCTTTTCATATCTGTTTCTATTTGCCGACATAATGTGTTCTTTGGCCTTCCTTTTTTCCTCTTCTCTTCAGGATTCCAAGTTAGTGCTTGCCTCGTGATACAGTTTGATGATTTCCCTAATGTATGTCCTATCCATTTCCATCGTCTTTTTGTAATTTCTTCTTCAGATAGGAGCTGGTTTGTTCTCTCCCACAGTAGACTGTTGGTTTATTCACAATACAAACAATAAATTAAAAATAAAACCTTCTTTATTTTACTATAATATGAGGTTATTTTCACTTGACTTACAATACAAACTCCACAGCTGTCTAAAATTTCATCTTTTGTAATTTGGAATAATTTTTTGTATTTCTCTTCACATGGTAAACAAACACGACATTTGATAGCGAATGCTGTTAAAAGAAAATATAAAATATCCTGTTAGTGTTATAACAGATACTTCAATCAGTCAGTCAGTCAGCTACGACGTAGGACCAGGCACATATATGCATCGGTCCAAGCTGCCATACCTCATTAACACAACAAGATGGACACCAGATTCATAAAAGTAGTTAATTCAGTGGTGGTAATATATAAAGGAAAGATTGCATATAAGGATATAATACAAGAAAAAAGAATTAGTTCGTAGAAAGACAGGTATTACGCAATTTTAATCTCACTGTTTAAGGACAGACAAAGAGTGTACACACCGATGCCGTTGTGATTGATTCTGAGCCATACCATTCAGTCTCCAATCAACCACAACAAAGTAATCTGCATCACACAGTATGGCTCAGACTACACGTTAGTGGCTTCAAGGACTGATGCCACGTTTTGGTTGGGCCACTGCTAACTCTCTTCAAGCAATCTCCTCCATTATTCAGCATTGTGCGCCGTGGTAGTCGGTGTTCAGGCATACGTAATACGTGGCCCAACCATCTTCGTCGATGAAGAGGCTAGTAGTAGTTGTCATTGTTTGTATGAGGATTGTGATACTATCCGGGTGACAAAACTAAAGCAGGTGGTTTTCTTTGGCCACAACCTGAGCCTTTGACTTAAAGGTATAATCCACAAGACAGTGGAAGAACGTCAGGAGATACAGTCCCATGATTGGTACGCTATCTGTTACCTCTGAATCCTGGAGCTCATGTGCACCATTGACTTAGAAGCGAGGTTTTTCTACTCCTCTAGGTGGATCTTCCATATCCACTAATCTGCTTAAAGCTCTAGACATTCGCTTTTCGTCCTCTCAATTTCGTAAACAACACCCCCACCACGAGAAGGCAGTGAATAGGACTTCGCATTTAGTGGCTGTATACGTTAGTCCATGTAAGAGCATTTGGAAAAGGAGAGCGTACTCACCCTTAATTTGATCGTACAAGAGTATTTGGGGAGTATAACTTATAAAACAAAACATTTCATTTTATGAATTGGAAAACAACTAGTAAGAATAAATATTTTTAAAAACATAAAATTTAGAAAAGCGATCTTTTTCGACTAATTTCCTATCAAACTGTACAATTGTATATATATATATATATATATATGAGATGACGAACCGACCCAAGTTAGGGAACCGTTGAAAACCTAAGAGTAATTGATGGTCGCTGCGTATCAACATGGGACACTTCAGCACATCCAATCCTGCAACCGAGAACAAAAACCAAGGAATTTTAATTTCATGAGCAAATGTATTACTTTTAGATCAGTAAACTGCGATTTAATGGTATACATACCTAACTTCAATCACTCCACTCACTTCATTATGCAATTGTTTACTTCCATTCTGAATAATGATCCTGAAGTATTTATTTGACATAATAACTACAAATGTATTTTGTGTACTTAATGTACACATGTATTTGTTATATATGATGAGTTTTGTGGCTTTGATGTTTTCCGTCACCAATGTCTATTAATCCATATTATATTGTATCTCAGTAGGTCATTTCAATCTGAATACCATTGTAAGTAGCTGATTAAGAAATAAGGAACTAAAATGACTTCATATTATTCTGTTTCAGTTATTATTTTGACTTTATTCCCATTTAATTCAAAATAAGTTGTAACCCATTTTCATAGTAAATCAAGTGATTGAATACATTGCTGATAAATATCATATCGTGGGACTCCTCAGCAGTGCGCATCCACGACCTCGCCCCCTGTGAGATCCGAACGCGGGACTTACTGGTTTCGCGCGCGAGCACTTAACCACTAGACCACTGAGCCGGCATTCAACGGTGTTAATGTCTAACTTCAACTAATCCAGTGCTTCCAGGTTTTCCATGGTGATCTAGCTTCAACTAAATCATTATGTTAACCATTAAAATTACTATAATATCCACAAAACCCATCTGATACTAAATATCATATCGTTGAAACGATTTAGTGGCCATAGTAAATAAGTAGTCTTATAGGCTACTCTTTCATAACATTTCATATTATTTAGTGATTTATCACTGTATACAAACCACAATCTTACGGTGTGTGATTTGCAGCTAAAATAGGTCAGTATTAATGCCTATAATTGGGAAAGTGTTTAATACAGTTTGAGATCTATGCGGAGCAACAGTTCGCTCAATATTGCATAGATGTATTTGATATGATGGAAAGAAAAGTCAGTTTTCGATTGATTTACTCATTATGAGTTTTGGTTCAAGATTACTTCCATTTTGATTCAATACAATGATTACTCAATGTGATATTCTTGTATTCCATTGACATGAACTATGCTCAGTGTGTGATTTCTTATAACTCGAAGGATTTCATCCAAGTTCTTAATTAAAATGGGCGTACAACCAATATATAAATGAGTGTATTTTCTACTAGAGTTGTCGTCATCGTCATAGTGTTTTGGAATTAATAAATCATCACTTATACTAGTCTTTGTGTTCTTTCATGCAATTGGTTCCCTTTATGAATTTAAATACTTTCGCGTCGTGGGAATTGCAGAGGTCCCTTGTTCCGAGTATAAGTGATAAGCGTTTCCGACATAACAATCAGCGACGACCAGATACAAAAAGTAGCATCAAAAGAGCCAAGACAATAAGAATTCAAACAAGTTATAACAGTATTGTTGATTAATACCACTTAGCATGAAATCTTGATCTGGGACTTCTTGTCGATTTCCTTTGACCAACTAACATCAAGTCGCTAAACTAGCGGTAGATTTCAATCAATATGATATATGTTGAATATGAACAACAAACAATGAAATCCATGTACATCGAGCTGAGAATACCTATACAGAGTGAAATGTGAGACATGGATTTTATTATTAATCACTCTTTAAATATAATTAACTTGTATATGTTGACAAAATGAAGGAATTCATCGGAGGAGTCAGTAACAACAAGGGATGATCGATTTCATCGTTGAATATTTGCAACGGGAAAGTACAAAAATTTACTATTAAGAACGAATATGCAATAATATTGTTTACATTTTTTCTTTCATTTTACCTAGTAGCGGTTCGCTCATGAATCGTAGTCACTGGTTGAAGACGTTGAATGACATGCCTCAAAATCAGTTACAATAGCACAGCTATATTCCTTCCTTATCGTTTGGTAGATTTTGAGTTTTAAAGTTATCTTTTACATTTTAATCCATGAATTCATTCTTTTTTTTCTTTACTTATATTATCAATATTCAATCGTTTCTACCACTTATAACACTGTTACTACCCATTCTACTCTACAATTTCATTTCATTATGTTGATGTTGTATGTCAACTTGAATAGATGAACACAGCTGTCAGGCTTTATAATGCTTATTCACAATTGGTTGATCACTGGCTGGTGATCAGTGTCATGTGTGTCAAGTCCTTATTTAGTGCAGATCGAATGCTAACGACCATGTTGCAATGTGGCCAGCAGTTTAGGTGACTCGACACTGCGTGCACTATATATTGAGATTAGATGGTGGTTGGAGGTAGTCAACAGGAAACCCTGGACCCGGGTTTCGTGCTACTTGGCACTCGTCAGCAAGGTGTACCTGTAATCTTGAGGGAACTGATGCTCCCTGGCGGATTCGATCCAGTGTCACCCAGCTTCGCAGTCAGAGACATTTACCACTGAGCTATCCGAGACGCGACTGACCTTCTGTCGGACTGAGATGTAATCACGATTGATTGATCACTGGGTGGTGATCAATGTCATGCGTGTCAAGTCCTTGCTTATTGGCTAACTGACTGACCGCCTGACTGACTGGATAACCAAATGGATCTAGTAATTATACTAGTTAGACAGCCATGCAAAACAGTTATTCAACAATAACTATGAATGACAAAAGTTTGAATATTTTATAATTTAATCTTTTTGTTTTGTTTAAAGTCATATGTTATTTTGTAAGATGATTTATAGATAGAAAAATAATTGACGTTTTATGTACAAAATGAAAATAGTACTTTCTGTCAATGTGACATTAGGAAATGTTTGACATCTTTTTTTAAATAATTTAACAGTTGAATTCATGAATCTATCAAAGCTAGATCACCATGGAAAACCTGGAAACACTGGATGACCATTTCGTTCCAGTATGGGACTCCTTGACAGTGTTCATTCATGATCCCCCACACGGTACTCAAACACAGGACCTTCAGTCCGATGCGCGAATGCTTAATTTTTAGATTACTGAGTTGGCATCAAACAGTGTTAATGTCTAACTTCAACCAGTTCACGAAATTCCACCAGTGTTCACCATTGTCTTCAGTGAGTTACTGCCTCATAACAAACACGGTTGAACTCCATTGGTCACTATTTCTCACTAGAACTCCATGAAATACCTCCTGAAGCCAGTCACTATATTAATTTAAAAAATATACATCATTATTTCCTTGTTTGATATCTTTTTTTTCTAATGAACCAAATATGTTTTCATAATGAAAAAAACGAATCAATAGCAGGTTTTGATTTCATTATTAGTTACAATTGAAGCAACGTTAGGTCAATTTATCGATTTTCAAGGGTTTATATTTTTTTCTTATTTGATAATTAAGATTATTCGATCAACATCTACTGATCTTCCTTTCTCTTGATCGAAGGCCTTCGTGTTTCTTTTAGTTAAAAATCTAAGTTTATTTGATTGGGATGAGTAATGGAATCCAGGAGGTTGATTTCGCACTATTTGAGATTTATCAGCTGAGTAACTTATCTCTTATTAACATAAAGATTAGGAAATTAATCACTGAAACAGTTATTCAAGGTCCATGTGTATGGTAGTTATCACGATATATAAAGCTATTGGATTTATATCTCTGGGTTATCATGAGTGTACACTGTTGATGATTGATCAGTCAGTGTGAAACAATATTTAAGTTCTTCTCAGTTCACCAGTAGATATTTATTCTGAGTGGAAAACAAACGAGAGGAAAGATGTGCACTGATATTTATTATGTAGCCTAAAATTAAAATGTAATGAGTAACTGTGACTAATATAATTAGAAGTGGTTTTGTGGAGATTTTAGTAATTTCAATAATTAAAATCATGAGTCAATTAAAGTTAGACCATTATGGAAAACTTGGATTGGTTGAAGTTAGATATTACCACCGTTGGATAACGGCTCAGTAGTCTAATGGATAAACGCTCGCGTGCGAGACTGATAGGTTTTGGGTTCGAATCTCGCGAAACGGGATCATGGATGCGCACTGCTGAGGAGTCTCACAACAGAACGAAACGGCTGTCCAGTGCTTTCAGGTTTTTCATGGCGGTCTAGCTTCAAGTAACTCATGATCTGAACCATTGAAAATACATTTTAATCATAGTTTTCCTATTATTAAAAGTTAGTTTGTTCTATAACAAAATATACTGATATTTTCAATTGTTTCTTCTAGAACTTAAGAAAATGGAGAAAACGTACTTGTGAAATTGATTTATTGAAATGAACTAAGTTAAAATAAAAACTAGAACTAATTCACTTGGTATTTTTTTACTTGAATCTTCCCAATGATGTTTAGGACTACAATTGATCAGTCTCTTATTGGCACATGTGGGTATTGCCTCGATATTGCCTTAATTTACAGGCATTATAAGCAAACATGGATAGTGGCTATTACTTAAATACAACACAGAAAGCTAGATTTTATTTATTCAAACACATAAATATTATCAGAATCTGGCGGGAGGCGAGATCGTGGATGAGCACTGCTGAGGAGTCCCACACTAGGACAAAACGGTTGTCCAGTGCGTCTCGGTTTTCTACGATGATCTAGCTTCAATTGACTCATGATTTCAACATAAATATTAGTACAAGAAATAATCAAATATATATGTACCCTGTAAGTCAAATAATTTGTATGAGGGCTGGGGTAATGCACAGGCTCCCAAACTATAATTACAAAGCCAGAACAACAACTGAAGCAGAATAATATGAATTCACTATATTTTATGGTTTCTTCATCATTTACTGACAACCATATATGAATTGAAGGGTAACAATGAGTTATGATTTAGTGTGAAACAATCGATACTGATATATATGCAAGAATAGGTTAAAGGTCATTTGGAGATTGAATTCAAAAGCATAGGGGGTTAGGTGATACATTGATTAAATGAGGTCAGGAGATATATAAGATAGATTGTGCAATAATTTTAGAAGTTGTAAAGGGTTTACATATATATTTGGTAGTAAGCAGCTGATGAGAAACCACAAAATATAATGACTTCATATTATTCTGCACCAATATTTGTTCTGGCTTTATAGAAATGGATTACATAAAATTACCGGAATTAGAAATTGATAAGTTGGGTTATGTAATAATAGAATAGCATTTAAAGAGTCTATATAAGTTAAGAGAATTAAGTGAATGGATACGTATGAGTGGAGGTATGGTTTTGGTGTACATAAAATAAAATCATTCAGTAACAAAGTAGAACTTCGTACGTACGTACATACATCAGTTCGAGTTGCCATACCACATTAGCACAGAGGTGCAATTGTCGATTCAAATCCCGTAGTGGTAGAGATAGTATAAGTACAAGCAGTAATCGGAAAGATCAGGGTTTAAGGATGTTATTCATGGAGTATAATCCAGCGAAATAAATTTGGAAAGAGAGAAAAAGGGACATGAAGAATTCAGAACATAAGAACTTGAAAGAACACAAACAGTGCATGCACATATGCTATTAAAATAAAATAAACACTGACAAAAAATGATAAAAATAATTTCACAAAGTAGTGATAAATGTGTTATTATTTATCAGGAAGAAGCTCCGGAAATGGATAGGACACACATTGAGGAAATCATCGAACTGCGTCACGAGACAAGCCCTCACATGGAATCGTCAAGGCCAAAGGAGGAGGAGAGGAAGACCAAAGAACACATAACGCTGAGAAATGGAGACAGACATGAGAAAAATGAACAAGAATTGGATGGAACTAGAAAGGAAGGCGCAGGACAGAGTGAGTTGGAGAATGCTGATCGTTGGCCTATGCTCCATTAGGAGTAACAGGCATAAGTAAGTAAGTAAGTAAGTAGGTAAGTAAGGATACATAAATCAGGTCTGAGTTTTTTATTGCTATTACTTTAGCTAACTGAAGAAATACTGTTTTTTAGTCCTCTAATAATTTTGAATGCCTATGGAATGTAAGCTGTATGCCTGATGTCAAGTAAATGCCAAGCTATTGTACTGTTTAGAACCATTGCTCATCTCAGTCTCAAGTTCGTTTCAACGTGCTCGGAAATGTGAACATGTGCTTTTCTGTCTAGATCAGTAGGTTTCTCATATTTTTGTCTGGTAGATATTTATCCAGAAAAGAAAATCAATAAAATTGTGACATTGTTTCATCAAATGATACTATGGATGAATTATGTGAACATTCATTGAGAAATGATTTTTAATACGGTAACAATCGATACATTATTTGTAAATCAATATTTAATATACAATCGGTTTTCATCATGAAGATGATATCAGTAAGTGAATAGTTGAAAGATAAGAAAGCTGTAGTAAATTATTGCCTCCAAATGCCTTTGCACAGTCGAGGATGAGGAGAGTCTACTGGGAAGTTCTACTCACTGACTTCTTGTGGTCGGAGTGTTGTGTACAAAATTGAGAAGATGAAAAGCCAATTTCTGACTCGTTAACTGAGTGTGTGTTGTGCATATGTATTTGGTGTATTCGGATATTCATGAACTGTGTGCATTTTTGATGACAATATTGACATTGAAATCATCATGTCTCGTTAGTGAATTTTATTTCCCTAACTTCATAATTTTTGATATAGACCTATGATGATGATCATCATCATGTTTATGTCTTATTTAGACAAAGAGAAGTGATGTCCGAAAATGTTAGTCTAGAAGAAGGTTGATGACAACATTTTATGAAGAAACTGTTAAAGCTAGGTTAATGAAATATCTGACTTTGAACAAAGTACAGATGATCTTATTAGACAAAGGTAGGAAATCTAAGAACAAACTACTAAAAGTCATTTTCTGTCCAGTTTCTTACAATTCATAATGGTCTCTATTTATTACCTGTTTTTCTAACGACTTAATTTCATTTATTCATACAGTTTTTTGTCCATGCTCTTTCATTAAAGGCTTAAAACACATTGTCATGTTTCATAAAGGCTATTCATATGATTTTAATAGTTGAGATCATTAGTCAATTGAAGCTAGACCACCATGAAAAACCTGGAAACATAGTGAGTTACTGCCTCACAACAGACACGGTTGAACTCCATTGATCACTATTTTTCACTAGAACTTCAAGAAGTACCTTTTCAAGCTAGTCACTAGTGATCATATGTTGATTAGTATCAGAATGGGATTTTTTGTAATCTCAACTATTGAAATTACTATAATATCCGCAAAACCCCCCTTCTGATACTGTTTATATAAGTTTATAGGCAAATATCGATAAGAATTATAATACGATGGTGGAGATGATTTGTAGCTCAGGTGAATGATTTTAATGGATCTTTGTTCTCTCTCTCTCTCTCAGATTTATCTGAAGTTTGTGCTGATGATGTTGTTTAGAAGAACGATAACAGCTCCACGACCAAACCATTCCACTTAGAGAATAAAACTCTATCAAAAATGATCATACTACGTTCAAAATTATTCAAAATAATAAGCATATACTTTTCAAGTATTAAATTTCACTTACCATATGATATGAATTGTAGAAATGTTATTATGATGATTAGACTATTTTCCATAAGGATTTTCATCCTTGGCGTTCTTTGTTATTTATCCAATGTTGTTTTTAATGACCAATGATAATATAACTCGTAATTGTTTTTAATGATTACTAATGATCATTATTATGTTATGGATAAAATAAACAATAATCGATATAAAATAACCAAACAGCAATTTGACACAATTTTGTTATTTGTTATCTCGCTCTCGCTCTCTCTCTCCTCTTAATTGTAAACACATAGCGACAAATTTGATTTGACATGGAATTCTATATCAGATTGATATTGAACTACAATATATACAGATACATTTATATAACTGTATATTATTGGTATGCAAGAGTAACTACAATGTGAAAATCAAGATTATTTGTTATCCAATGAATGAATACACAATTTAATATTGGAAGGGGTTTTGTGGATACTATAGTAATTTCATTGGTTGATATCATGAGTCAGGACCCAGGACCTATCAGTCTCGTGCTCGAGCGCTTAATCACTTAACCATTCAGCCGGGTCCTGGGTTCGAATCTCGCGGGGAGCGAGATCGTGGATGCACACTGCTAAAGAGTCCCACAATAGGACGAGACGACCGTCCAGTGCTTCTAGGTTGTCCATAGTGGTCTAGCTTCAACTGACTCATGATCTCAATTATTGAAAATACACAATTTGTTTGTTTGATTAGAGACACTGATTTTTTTTAGTATAACTATGAATAGAATCATAGTCAGTCAAGTGTTTAGGTGATAAAAAACTCATTTGACAAATAATTTTCAATGGGAAGATTCATGCAAAACAATACTAAGTGAATTTCAATTCAATTCAGTGCACAAACAAATGGCTGTCAGCTAAGTGGATGACGCGATAGTGTTTGAAGCGAATGATACTGGGTTTGAGTCCCAGAGTGGACTTCAATTTTGAGATTCAGGTACATCCAGCTGACGAGTTTCGAATAGGATGAAAAATGCTCCGCGGATTTCACTGCTAACCACTATCTAACTTTGCTTCAATAGCTTGTGAATTAAGGCTATATCGAGTGAATACGCACAGTATGCACATATGCCAATAAGAGACTGATCTATTGCAGTCTTAAAACTCAGTGAGAAGATTCAAGTAAAACAATACCAAGTGAATAACCTCCATAGTTTGAAGCACTGACTAACGTTACTTAGATCACAATCAAAAACTATTTAGCATAGGGCAGTCATCTTGTTCTAGTATAGAATTCCTCTACAGTTAGTATGAGTGATTTCCCATCTCTCTCTCCACCCAATAAGGATTAAACCTAGAAACGTCCGTCTCATCGATACCTATTTGATAGTCAATGAAAATATATGATTATGAATTCAATCGTGGATTCAATCAAAATATTATTTCATATGTTTTCTGATATGAGACTCCAAAAATTACGCTCTATATGACTAGTATTATGAAATGCAGAAGATTTAAACACTATTTGTTACCTACATTAGTTATGAATAGATATCTCACAAATGCTTAACTAAGCAAAACTATTAGTCGAAAAGGAGACCTGAAATAGTAACAACTTGTAAGAAATCACTATTGATATAAGTCAGTCAGTCAGTAACAACGTAGAAACTCGTACGTACATACATCAGTTCGAGTTGCTATACCATATTAGCACAGTGAAGCAATTGTTGATACAAATCCCGTAGTGGTACAGATTGTATAAGTACAGGCAGTAATCGGAAAGATTAGGGCTTGAAAATGTTATTTAAAGAGTATAATCCAGTGAAGTAAATTTGGAAAGAGAAAAAAGGGACAAGAAGGAATTAGGAGATTAGAATTTGAGAGAACGCTAAGGGTGGATGCACCTGCGCCATTGCAAACGATTTTGAGCCATGTCATTCAGGGTCTCTAATCTTTGGTCACTATCATCTCGCGGTCCCCAACCAGGTAGTCTACACCTACCAACATGGTTCACTCAGCTCACGTGTCAGTGACTTCGTAGAGTTTTGCCATGTTTCGGTCTGGCCGCCCCTAACTTTCTTCCAGTCTACTCCTACACCAGAAAGCATCGTACGTCGGGGCAGTCGGTAGTTGGGTATACATAACACATGTACCAGCAATCTCAACTGATGAAGTTTCACTACTTCATCAATCGATTTGCCATCCCTACCTAGTACCCGTTTCCTAACAACTGTGTTACTTACTCGATGGTCCCAGGGTATTGTTATAAATGGGATTCGTAGATCATGTTGTTAATGAGAATGTGACAGAGAAGATAGAAGGAGCTGTAAATAGAACAAAAAATTTATTCAAACTATCGAAAGATGTCTAATGCACCACATTGAAGATAGCTTACATAATGAAGTGACTTCTGTTAGATGACCATTGAAACCAGAGAGTACAGTATAGTTGTTTCATCATAATGTGACACTATTCATACGTATGTACTCTTGTTTCAATCATAGATCGAATTGAAGATATTGATGCTTCATTGTAGGTGGATTAATTTTAGGCTACTGAATTGAAATCCGACGAGATTTTGGATTTATAGTACTAAAAAATAGCAGGGATAAGTTTGTGAACCTTTTAAGTTTTCAGCTTTACCACCAAAGAATATTGACTACTGGTTGTTAATTATTGGGCATAACTCATCAACTTTAAACCTAAAAATCAAATTCGGTTGTGTTATATCGTAGTGAAGATAAAATTACGAGTAACATGTGAGAACTATTAGTGGGCTAATATATATATTCTACTTGTATAACTGTTCAGTTACTAGATTATGTATATTTACAGGCTTTATTTTGACCTATAGACTATTATGATACGATTAACTATACTTAAGTTGCACCCAGTTTATTACTTACAGTCTCCTACGTTCACAGCTACATTTAGGCTTGATTTTGCATAAATGTTATTTCTTATTTTATGGTGTGATGTGGCTTATTTGGCTGGTATATATAAAGCAAGTATGTTTGAAATGAACGTTTCGCATAGTAAATAAAAATAATAAATTAGTAATATCCCAATGAGTAGAAAATTGGATTTTCTGACGTTTCGTGACTTAGAGTAAGTCACTTCTTCAGAGAATAGTGTTAGCTGTTATCGATGTTCTGGACCAAAAGTAGACGAACTAGATCAACATAGGACTGATAAAAACGTTAGGCTGCTCATACCGGTTGGACATTATTGATTTGGCATAGTACTAAGATTAGATGAATCATATTTCGTTTGACGAATAAATCACATGGTGAAAAGCCGGTCTTAAAGTCACAACAGGTTAACATTTTGAACTGAATTAATTTGCGTTTTTCAAAAAGTATCCAAGGAAGTTTGGACGCTATTAGTTCGATTCACAACAAAATTATGGGTGGACACTTTTCGAGAGTTCACAATACGAACAAAGCATCTTTACAGTAACTTCTAATTCTCACTATATTTTTTTAGATCACATTAGTCTACGTTGAGAATCATACTGAAGTAGAATGAGTGTTCAAGACACTAGTAACCAATATTGATAAAAACGACCAGAAATCTTATATATTAATCAGAGTGGAGTTTTGTGGATATTATTTAATAGTTGGGTTCATGAGTCATTTGAGTCTAGACCACCATGGGAAACCTGGAACCAATAGACGGCCGTTCTGTCCTAGTATGAGATTCTTCAGCAGTGCGCGCCCACGATCCCGCCCGCAGGACTGGAACCCAGGACCTATCAGTCTCGCGCGCAAACGCTTAACCTCTAGATCAGTAAGCCGGTGTTAATGTTTAACTTCAACTAATCTACGAATTAAATGTATTTGAACACAAAGTTACAGAACATCTTGATAAAATCTGAGAATCACACAGTATATTCTTCATTTGCAAAATGTCAGTCAGTCATCTCAGAATTCATTGTTGCTTCATTTCTAAAGAAACCATTCTCTGTTTTGATTCTCGTTTCTTTGATTTTCTTAACATTCTGCCTCTAGGCATTTCACTTCCAATTGATGATACATACTACTTATATCAGTCGATATCAGTAGCACACATCACAACTATACAGTCATATATCATTCTTTGAAAAATAACTCTGGGTTCGAATCCTGCAAGCGGGATCGTGGATGCACATTGCTGAGGAATTCCATACTAGGACGAAACAGCCGTCCAGTACTTCCAGGTTTTCAATGATGGTCTAACATCAATCGGTTCATGATCTCAATAAATAAATAAAAAACTTACTAATTTACATCAATCCCATACTGATAATTTCAAATCATCTTGTCCATTGATGATGAATGTAAACTATGATTGTTTTGATTTTTTACATGTACACAACTATCAGTTAACAATTACTTGTAATCAAATGTGAATGAAGTATTCTTGTGTGAAAAAATTCGAAATCTTTACCTACATCCTTTTCATTGATGTAATTACTTTTATTCCCTTGGTTAATCCAATCAAAAATGATGCTTATGCATGTGAACTAATCTTAGTGAATAATGAAGTGAAGAAGTTAATTCCAGTTTTAAAATAAACTTAAAGTAGGATAATGTGATGATTAGTTAAGTATTAAAACAGTCATTAATAGTTTCATAAAAACATCCAAAATTTTGAAGATACTTCTTAATGTATAGTGAAATATTTGGAGTTGACTTAAAACTTATTTACTTACTTACGCTTGTTACTCCTTATGGAGAAGCATAAGCCACTAGCTAGAATTCTCCAACCAGTTCTATCTTGGGCAATCCTTTCCAGTTGTTATTTATTCTTCCGATGGCTGTTTTTAATTCTTGACGAAGTATGTTCTTGGCCTTCCTCTTTTTCGTTTTCATTTACAATTCCAAGTTAGGACTTGCCTTGTAATGCAGTTTGATCATTCCCGTAATGTATGTCCTGTCTTCATCTATCGTCTCTTTCTGATTTCCTCTTCAATTCGAAGCGGATTTGTTCTCTACCAAAGTAGGTTGCTGCTTATGGTAACTGGACAACGGACTTTAAGTATATTTTGTAGATAATTGATTATAAAGACCTGTACACTTTCGATGATGGTTGTAGTAGATCTCGGAGTTTTAGCTCCA